CGCCTGTTTCCGGAGGAAGTCCTCGGCCCGCTGCTGGCCCAGGCGCTGGTCCACCGTGGGCTCGGCCGCCCGGCTCTTGTTGGTGTTATTGTTGCGGTTCTCCTGGGGATCAACCACCAGTGGCCGGTCCAGGTGGGTCTTCATGTCCGGCCGCAGGTGCCGGGCATAGGTGGCCTTCCAGCGCTCATCCGGGTCCATCTCGTTGTACAGGGCCTCCCGGCTGGCCAGCAGGTTCTGCTTGCGCATCTCGCTGGTCCGCTGCTCCCACACGGACTTGGCTGGCTTCTGGTTCTTCTGTTGCTCCTTCCTGCAAGGGTAGGGCCCAGGGGTTAGAGCGCTGCTGGGCACTGCACCTGCACGGACCACGCTGCTGGGTATCTCGGCCCGAGTAGGTAGCTCAACCTATGTGAAAAACTCAACTTTGCTGGACCTCTCAGCCTTACAGGTGTCATGGCTCAGGTGAGTGTCTCGGTCCAGATAGAAAATGTGTATCTCCGACTAGCTGGGCATTCTGGTCTAATGGGAGGGGGGAGTGTCTCAGCCCAGGTGGCTGTTCCCATCGTCCTCTCCATTCCTCTTTATATTGTAACATGTGACTTCCTGCGGATAGTCTTGATGTTCAAAATATTTTAACCTCTGAGATAGCCAATCATAATGAATATGGCCTGAAGCCAGTTCCGGAGACCCCCATGCTGCCTGAAGGTCCTTCAGTTCTGGGTCATAGGAGGTCTGGGAGTCCGAGGGAGAGCCAGAGTGGGTGTTTGGGAGTCTGGGGGCGGTGCCTATTTATCCACTGGTGTAAAGCAGCCAACAGGGCTGCTTCTGGGAGTGTTGGTGAGGCTGGGGCCCCACCTGGAATGCACAGATTTTTCCAGGGGTTCTGTGTACATTGATAGTTTTACACTGACCTTCCACAGGCTGCTCTCCTAAACTTGCCTGACTGAGCATGAACTCTCCTGGGCTCCCATTTCCTAGCTACCTCCTTCCACTTTGGGAAAGAAAGTCCCCTCCCTAGTGTCCCGTGATGCACTTCCCCCCAGTTTGCAGAATCCCCAGGGTACCCCACAAAAGCACAATTAAGAATACTGATATTGATATATCTTCCTTCTATCAAGACACCTTAATTCTCAGCAGCTCACCACCTCCAATCCACCAGCAAATTCTGTCCACTCTTCCTTCATCCATCGCCTCCTGCATCCATCTCCTCCTCGGCCCACCACCCTGGTCCAACCCCCACACTCTCTTCTGCATGGACCAGTGCAGTCCTCTCCAACCTTGTCTCCTGGCCCCGCCCTCACCCTCACTGACTGTTCTCCTGACTGCAGCAAGAGGGCATCTGTGAGCACCTGAGTCAGGCAGGTCCTGTCTCTCTGCTCAAGAACCCTCTATGGTGCTCGCCTAACTCAGAGCAGAAGTCTGAGTCCTCCTCACGGTTCACAAAGTCCTGCATGATCTGCCCCTGTCGCCTCCCTGCCCTCATCTCTTCCCACTCTCCCCCGTTGCTCCAGTCATACCGGCCTCCTTTACGTTCCCTAAACACGCCAGGCGTGTTCCTGCCTCAGGACCGTTCCCACTGCCTAGAGGCTCTTCCCTCGGATCCTCCCATGGTTCCTCCCTCGCCTCCTTCAGGCCTTGTTACTTTTCCAGCGAAGACTTCCCCGACAACTTTAGTTAAAATCACAAATTTCTCTACCCTTGGCATGCTCTATACCCACTAACCCCTTGTTAATGCTATATCCCCAGTGCCTGGCACATAGTAGGTGCTCATTAATTACTTATTGTGTAAAAATGGCTGAGAGGGCAGAAGTACCTCTTCCCAAAGCTCAACCCTGCCAAGGACGGCTCCTTGCCCCAAATCCTTGACTGCGAGGGTGCAGAGGCCGAGGAGCTCAGGGAGCATGCCGGAGCTGGGGGCACTTACACAGCTATGGACATGCTGGCCGCGGACAGAGGACTCACTTCTGCCACCTCCTTGGCTTTCTGGAGGGCGAGTTTCTGGTTGGCTGCCTCTTCTTCTTCTTGTTCATCCTAAAAGGCACAAGGGATCTCTGTTTACAAAACATAAACTGGGCCTTGGGGCCTCGCCTCTGACCCTACTGTTAACCAGGGGGACACTGGAAATATTTATGAAAAGACTTGGCTGGGCATCGACCAACCAGAGCCGAGACCCACGGATCAGAACGGGAGCCCAGTGGACACCCAGTGTCTGTTAAGTGTCCTGCTACCCCCTTTACGTACAGGCTAGAGACCCAGGTCATAATTAACCCTATGTTAGCACACAGCCAGAAGGAAACAAAAGGAGACACTCCCCTTTCCACAGGGGAGATTTTCTGCGCTCTGTCTCAAGGAGCTGGAAATTAATGCAAAGATTTTCCTCTCACTCTACTTTCTGGGTCATTTAAGCTCTCTGAACCAAGACTGCAAAAAAAAAAAAAAACAAAAAAAAAAAACCACAAAAACCACTGACTAGCCCCCACATGCAGAAAAATCAGCATCCCCATGGCCCATCCCATGCACTGCCAACAGCCTCCAGAAAGGAATCGGGAGCGGAACTAGGGGGAAGATGTTTTTAAAAATACATACAGAAAAAGATGATTTGGGGCTTTAAATCCTTCTTCAGCCTTCATGCAGGGCCTCATTCGTAAAACAGAAAAGCCAACAAAGAAAAAGCAAAGAAAAAGCAACGAGAAAGAAATGGCCAGAGACGAACCCGCCAATAAGAAAAGTCATGTGGCCGAAGGGCCCCTCTCCCCCTGCGCTGGGATCACTGCAGAAGAAGCAACCTTACCACCTCGGAAACGGTCAGATCAGGACATTCTGTCCAGTGACAACATGGAGGTGGGACCCGCCAGCCCGCCTGCTCTCACAAGGCCTCCCTGCATCCTGGCACCACATCCAGCATTTCTCGGAGCTGGGTCTCTGGACCCCCTGCCTCAGAAATGCTGCAAATACAGATTCCCGGGCCTCCCAAAGAACCTGGGCTGGGCCCTGGAAACTGCATTCTCAACCAGGTGCGTATGGAACATGCTCAAGTTTAAGCACCAGTGCACATGGTTAAGAGCACAAATTCTAGACCCACTTGGATTCAAATCCCAGTTTCTACCACTTACTGCTGTGTGACTCTGGGCAGGTCGCTTAATCTCTCTGTGCCTCACAATCCTCAGCTAAAATTTCAGCTCTCTCCAACATTCTCTATGTCGCTTTTTTTCTTTTAGCACTGTGTATTTTTTGTCTGTCTCTCCCACTCAAATATCAGCCCTGTGAGAGCAGGGATTTCTGCCTGTTCTGTTCATGGCTGTGTCCTGGTTCCTAGACCAGGCCTTGTTCACCATAGGTGCTCAATAAATGCTTTTGAATGACTGACAAATCTGTAAAACGGGGCTCAGAAAATGTGCCTCTTGGGGTTTCTGTGAGGAATAAATGAGATGAAAACACATCAGGGGCTATGCAGGGCGCCTGCCACATAGTAAACGCCTAAGAAACGCTTGTGGAATAAATGGAGGAAAGAACGAGGGTCTGGAGGAGAATGTCCGCGCCTCCTCCAGAGAAAGGTAATGAGCTTGCCTTTCTCCCTCCCTTTCTCCTATCCTCCCGGCGGCCCCTCTCCCCAGTGACTTGGATGAGCTCATGGCCGGATCAACTTCCGGAGCAGCCACGCCAACCGGCTCCATGGTGACCGGGTCCATGGCCATGTATTAGGGGTGACGGAGACTTCCTTTCTCCCTCCCCCTCAAGTCAGAGCTGGGCCTGGGAAACTCTCCCTCCCGCCAGGGTCAGCAGATGGAGGGCTGGCAACGTCTGCTCAGTTTGGTTCAGTTCCATGAACATGTCCTGAACATCTCGGTTCACTGGGACCGTGAAGCTACGGGTGGCCATAGGCCTGGCCCTCCTGGGCTCAGAGGAAGACCGCGCACATTCTCTTAATAAGACAGGGCTGCTGGGGACAAGTTTAGGGTGGACCACCGCTAGCTCCTAACATGCCTTTGTTCCCGACGTTCACCTTTCAAATTGCAAAAATGCAGCCCAGCTTCTTCTGTGCAGTGCACAACCTGTACACCCATGCCCAGCAGCCCTGCTGGTGGGCTATCCCAGAGATGCTGAGCTGTGTCACCAAAAGCAGTATCGCCTCCTCTGTGCCCATGAGGTGGACCTGACTCACAGGGAGTCCAAGGCTGCCAAAAGGGGCACCTGGCCCCAGGTTTTGCCCATAATTCAGTATCACTGACCATGAATAAAAACTGGCCTTCTCCTCGCATGGACGGTTCTCACTCCCCACTCCCCGAATTCTCTTCTGACCTCGTTTGCTCTGCTCTTCTCTCTTCTGCTCTCTGAGAGGTCACATCTCTGCCTTTTCAGTTCCTAGCTGTGTGGCGAGCCCACTTAACCTTTCTGGGCCTCGGTTTCCCCGTCGGTGAAACGGGGATAACAGTAACTCCCTACCTGTCGTGCCTGCTGGTGCCTGGCATCAAAGCGCAATTACACTTTCTGCGGTTATTATTATTTTTATCATTATGTGCTCAGCTGGGGCTGAAAGTGGCAGCGAGTCAAGAACTCAGGTTCTGGAGCTTGCCAGGGCTGGGTTCGAATCCCAGCCTTCCCTCTACGAGCTCTATAAAATGAGAGCTCTAGGGCCAGGGCCAGGCTCGTGCCCAGTGATGAACAAAGACTCCCTTTATTGAGCACTTACTGTGTACCAAGACCTGTGCTGAGCACCTGACGTGCATAGCGCGATGCTATAAACAGTAGCTGCTATTATCATGCCAGCAGGGGCCAGTGACTTTGCCTTTCGGAGTCTCAGTTTCCCGTTATGCAAAAGGGTGACGACAGCGATGCCTGGCACCAAGAGTATCACAGAATTCTTTAGCTGTCACTCAGTGATAAGGTCCAACCAGCTCCCGAGCTTACAGGGGGCCACATGTCAAGCCCCAGGACCCTGTGTAGGTTATTCTCCATCTGTCCTGTCCTCAGGTCTAGTGTAGTGACAGTGCCGTGAGCCTGGAGGCCGCATCGTTCCTTGGAGGTCCCTTGAGACTGCCCACTGCCTGTCCATGGGTACTCAGCGGAGTGTGCCATCTGTTTCCTGCAATCCTGGGGCCTCACCCCCTCACCACCTCCTCTGCTGAAGAACCCACTTGACTAGGGACAGTCTGTCGCAGCGGGGAGGAGGCGTCGTCTCCCTGGCACGGTGCATCCAGGCCAAGAGCTCTGACCCTGTCCCCATCCCCGTATGCCCAGCACGGTCCTGATCTGCCACGAGCAGGTGGTAACTTTGCCAGAGAAACATCCTCCCACCAACTGCACCTTGGTGAGCTCCTGAGCATTGGCCAAATTATCCACCGCGATGGCCAGGAACACGTTCAGGAGGGTGTCTGCAGACGCCAGAGTCAAGGAAAGCATCGCCCCTTGGACCCCGGGTATCTGGTCTCCCGATCCCCTTCCTCACAACCCCATCTGCTCTGCCCGAGGCCCGGGCGCATCCCGCACCCCCCACGGAGGATACAGTTCCCGAAGAGTGTCAGCACGATGAAATAGATGGAGAACACCATGCCGCCCTGCACGCCGCCCTGAGATTTGATGCCGTCGTACATGACCTCGTTCCAGTCCTCACCGGTCAGGATCTGAAAGGGAGAAAGAAGCACACAGCCAACCCCCCTCTCAGCCACGGGCCCCTTGGAGATGCAGCTGTGGGGCCCGAACCTGTCTGTCCCTGCAGTGAGGAGCTCTCGGCCCAGCTTCTTTGCAAAGAGACCCTGGGGGAGTCACGAACCTCTCTGAAGTGTCTTCTCAGATATGGTAAGGGGATTTGCTAGCGACTGAGTTGTGCCCCTAATTTCAAATGCTGATGCTCTAAGCCCTCATGTGGAGGTAATTTTAGGGTTAGATGAGGTCATGAAGGTGGGGTCTCAAGATGGGATGAGTGCCTTTGTAAGAAGAGGCACCACAGAGGTTGGGCGGGCTCCGTCTCTCTCCCCCATGTGAGGAGCAGTGAGAAGGCAGTTGCACGTAAGCCAGGCAGAGAGCCCTCACCAGGGACTAGCCCTGTGGGCACCCCGACCATGACTTCCAGCCTCCAGAACTGCGAGAAATAAATTTCTGTTGTATAAGCAACATCTTCACTGGACCTTTTGGGGTGCTGTGTCTGGGGCAGGGCGGAGGCTGGGGACCGGACAAGGCCTCAGGCAGAAGGACACAGGGGAGGGCAAACGGAAATATGAGAAAGACTGAGCGGACACGTGTGTGGCATCCATATGCTCGTTAAAAAAGAATCCCACTCCCCTCCTCTGAAGTGTTTTCACGAGGATCAGTAAATGTGAAAGAGCTCCAGAAACGCTAATCTGTCAGTGCACGGTTTCTCCGCCTGGCACTGCCGACATTTGGGGCTGGGTCATTCTCTGGGGTGGGGCCTCCTGTGCACTTGCGGGGTGTTGAGCAGCATCACTGGCCTCGACCCACTAGATGCTGGTAGCACCCACCCCCGCAGTTTTGACAACCCCTCCAAAAATGTTTCCAGACACTTCCAAGTGGCCTTAGGGACAGAACTGCTCCTGAGCCAGAACCCTGTGCTGAGGATCTGTGGGTGGTGATTGTAACTGTCATCGGTCATTAACGCGAGAGGTCAGACCTTCGCTTCACGGAAGGTCTCGTTCCAACCCCAGCTCGGGGTTTCATTTAGAAACCACGGCCCCAGGAGAAGGTGGGAGCGAAGTCCCATTTTCCCGTACACTCTCTGCCCCTTCAAAGAGACCAGACCTATTGGAGGCTCTGGAGGTCCCAGCTTGGTCAGTCCCACCCCTCAGGTCACATGCCCACAGGGGTGCAGCAGTTGGTTTGGGGAGACCACCGAGGTCGACCCCTTGCTCTGGAGTATGGGGTCAGGGTGTCTTCCAATCTGGAGAGGATGGGCGGAGTAACCTCGTATTTTCTGTATTTTGATGCTTTGATGGCTGGGGCCTTGCTGGGTCTGGAGGGAGTGGAGGCTGGCTAACTCTTAGAGATGGTGAACAACTGGCCAATGAACACGATTTTCAAATGCAGATCAACTAATCCACGGCCCACGGCCTCAAGCACCTCCTCTATCAGGCTCTTACACGCAAGGCCAACATTCTCTGCTTGAATCACCTCTCAGGCCACGTTCCAGCCGACCCAGGACAGCTCCTATGCCCCAGAGCCGTCTGAAATTATTCAAACTAGCCAGTCCTAAAACTGCTCACCCTGCCTCCCCCATTCCTTCCTGTGGAAACCCCAAGAAAGGCTCCTGCCCAATTCCCCCTCCCTCTGCCTCCTGACTCTAGTGCTTTTCCATGTGGCCTTGCTTGGCTCGGGGCTGGGTGAAGGTCGTACCTGAAACACTGTCATTATTGCTGCTGGAAAAGTGTCGAAGTTGGTAGGAGGAGTCCCTTCGTCGAAATTAAACCTGTGAGAGAATGCAGACATTTCCCACTGGCCAAGCCCCAGGCATTCTGAGGGTGCGGTTTAGCATCCGGTCTCCAGGGAAACATCTCCAGCATCTCTGTTCCCCAGAAGGACCCCTGAGTGGTACCCAGGGCCCTGCCTGTCTGGGCGAGTGCATGGGGTGTCCCCGGGGCCAGACCCCAGGGAAGCGGGGATCAGAGAAGCTGCTGAGCACTTACTGGCCGCCAAAAAGCTGCATTCCCAAAAGTGCAAAGACGACGATGAACAGGAAAAGGAGGAACAGCAGGCTGATGATGGATTTCATGGAGTTGAGAAGAGAGACCACCAGGTTCCTGAGAGATGCCCAGTACCTGCCAACAGAGGCCGGAGGTGGGATGGGGCATCAGGCTGGGCCAGGGCCATGGCCACTGAGCCCACCTTCCCAGCGCGTCCCCCTCCCCAACCCCCAAGTGTCTCCCCACATCTCCAAAGACTTACTTTGTGACTTTGAAAATACGCAATAACCTGAGGGCTCGTAACACGCTGATTCCAAAGGATGTGCCAGGTTTTATGACGGCCCAGATGACCTCAAAGATGCTTCCGATGATGACCTAGAACAGAGGCTCCGCTCTTACATCCAAGGTCCTTGCAAACACGCCCCGGGCCTGAACCTTGTCGGAACCCAACCCAACTCTCACCCTCAGTGCAAGCAGAGTGAGGGTCTCAGACCCTCTCATCCCTCCTTATGAGAGCAAAGAATGAGAGCAAAGAATCCCTAAAACACATAACTACAAAGTGAGTGCCCATGCAGCTACCACCTACGTGAAGAAATAAGACATAACCACCCTAGACATAACCACCACCCTGAATTTTATAACAACCATTTCCTTGATTTAAAAAATTGAGGTGAAATGCACATAACATAAAATTAACCATTTTAAGTGCACGATTCAGTGGTGTTTAGCACGTCCACCATGTTGTGCACCCACCACCTCTACCTAGTTCCATAACATTCCCGTCACCCCCAAAGGAGACCCCGTCCCCAGGAGTCACTCCGCACCCTCCTCCCCCGGCCCCTGTCCACCACTGATCTGCTTTCTGTCTGCATGAAATTTGCGTGTTCTGGACATTTCACATAAATGAAATTACATGTGACCTTCTGTATCTGGCTTCTTTTGCCTACCATAATGTTTTCGAGGTCTTCGCCTTTTTTAGAGTATTCAAGCATCATCCTTAACCGATACAGCTTAGTTTTGTCCATCTGAACTTTGCTGGGCAGAATCGCACACATGGATGGACAGCTTTGGTCAGTATCTGCCTCCTACTGCGCAATACTGCACGGCCGATGGGTGCCGTTGCGGCGGGCGGCCTTGCGTGCTGAGGAATATTCCATTCCGTGGCTGTGCCACCACTTACTCATCCATTCTACTGCAAATGTTTGGGTCATTTGGTTTGGGACTATTATAAACAAAGCTGCTCAGGACATTCTTGTATGTGTCTCCTGGGTATCTGTGCACATTTCTCTAGGGTGAATTTCTAGCATGGCATTATCAGGTCATCCCCATTTTTGAAAGACAGTTCACACATGTGCCCGCCCACCGGCAGTAACTGACAGTCCTGGGAGCCTGTATTCAATGTTTAGTACGGTCCTCTCGTTTCCACTGCATTCAGCTGAGTCTCTCATGTCCAGGGGTGACTTTGCCTCTTCCTTTTCTATGTTCCCAGGTATCAGCCATGCTTGGCAAGAGCTGGAGAAATGAATTCCTTAGAAATTAGGGCACTTACCCCACAGTCAAAGCAGTTGAAGGAAGAGTGGAAGTAAGGCCGTGTCCCAAGCCCGTACATTTTTATAAACATTTCGGACATAAAGAGTCCTAAGAAAATGAATTCTGCATAGTCTAGAAGGGAGAGGGGGAAACAGAGAGGTTAGTTTTGTTTGGGGGTGGCGGCCGCCAGTGGCTCTGACTTTCCTGTTGATACCAATCCTGGCCCTGGCCTGGCCTGGAAGTAAGGGAGAGAGAGGATGGTCTTTGGTGACCTTGGCTAAAGATTATGCAAGGCTTCCCTTCCATGGGCCTCGGTTTCTCCTCTGTTAATGGGGAGGAGCAACGATTGTCCACCACCCTCCAACCAACCAACGCCAGGCCAATCTTAAAAGGAGTGAGAAAAAGGTCAGTGGATCTTCATCTTGCTGTCTCCTCTTGTTGCCCTGGTTTGATGAGAATGGTTGGATGCAGATTATTGCCAAGGACCTAGGTTTCACGTTGAGTGACAGGTTCCTGAGAGCTGACTACATTTTAAAAAATAATGAATGAATGAACAAATGGCTGAACTAACTAGCTAACTAGCTAACTAACTGGCTAACTAACAACTAACTGGCTAACAAAATAATAATGGCTCCATGATATCAGTGTGTCATCATCTAAGAATTATATGGCTAATCCACTTTTATATGACTGAGGTCCAATGGAAAAATAGAAATAGAGATCATAATGGTGTCCTGTTTTTAAGTCCTTGGTGTTAGGGATTTAGTTGGAGCATCACAGGGAACTGATCTAAGGCACAGCTTTTCTCCCAACTTGGAAATCCTATCTGACGTCCCCTGGAACTCCTGTCTTCCTGATGCCTAGAAGTCTTGAACGAGATAAAGCCTTTTGTTCTTTGGTAAGAAAGCATAACGGAGCAAAGGCCTCTGAAAGAGATAACACATAGATTTTTTTTTTTTTGCACCAACAAAGAATGGGAAACGTCAGGTCTTTTTTTGGGAGACCTCTTGGTGGGGCAGGAAGATGAGGAGTCAGGAAGGGCATGAATACTCACAAATGGATGGAAAGGAGAGGTAACGAGGGCTTCTGAAGAGAATAAGGCATACAGAAAGGGAAGAGAGAGGATTCATGCTTCCAAGAATTTCAATTTGGGTCACATACTAATTCTGTTTGAAGGTCAAGGGCATTTGTTATAACATCCTCTTAAGAGGTGGTCTGACCTAACCTTCAAGGTCCTTCCTACTCATCCCTATTGAAACATTCCCCTAATTTCAGGACTCTGGGGAGCTCCTAGTGTCCGAGGGAAACTCTTTGGTCTCCAGGACCAACATTATCAGCGAGGGAAATCTGTCCATAACATCTGGTGCATTCAAAGAACCACCAGAAGCAACTCTAGGAGGACTTAAGAGTTTCCAAGATGCTGGTTCCTCAGTTACCATGGAAACATCATAGCTGATGATGCACAAGACCAGAGAGAGAATTGCTCATGGCATTGGTGGGTCTGGAAGAAATATCAGGGCCATCAAATCCAATTTCTACCACATACAGAGGAGGAATCTGAGACTCAGAAGAACTACTATACTTTATTGATTCTAAGACAAACTTTTTTGTTCACATTCTGACATCTCTGCAATTAGAGTATATCTTAAAATTGGCCATGTCCTAGTTTAGACAACAGCATTTCTCAGTGGTGCATAAAAGAGTGCCTTATAATTGAAAATGTCTTCAATCAATGGATGTGGTACTGACTGTCCAAGGTCCCAGGTCAAGTTAGAGGCAGGCGTTGAGAACCCAGGTCACCTGATGGCCAAGGCAGAGATCTGCCAGATAGCTTAGACTCTGGATTCAACTCGCAACTTCATCACATATTACCTGCGTGACTCTGGGCAAGTTACTTAACCTCTCTGTGTCTCAGTTTTCTCAACTGGGGATAATTAAAGGATCTTTTCAGATACAGAGGTTCAGGGCAGAAAGTCTCAGACCTCTGTTCTTGAACCAGGACAGAGCAAGGTGATTAGTGGGGAGAATATGAGAGATTAAAAATAGACTATCAGAGGAGGTTAAGATGAGAAGCAAAGAGTCCTCATTTATAAGAGACTCCAGGGGGACCAAATGCAATTACTAAGGTTGGAACTAGGTCGAGGCTCTCGGAAGGAGAACTGGCCCCTAGAGGGTGTCTCGGGCCGGAGGGTCAGCCAACGTGATTGGGAACAATGAAGGTTACAAGGAGGCTCTCAGGCCTCTCTAGGCTGAAGACTCGACTGTCTCCAGTGGCTAGGTGGGTCAATTCTGAACCACGTCAGAAGGGCAAAGAATCCACAGACCTAAGTCAGACAAGCCAGCAGATGCAGGAGGAGGACGGCCAGCAGGAAAAACAGTTTGGGGAAATTCTCACTAGAGGCCCACAAGCCAGTGCTAGAGCATCCACTTGCCTTCCTCACTGCCCAGCCGCTACTTTCGTTGAGTCCTCAGAGCTCTTTACTTTTTACCTTCCGGTCAGAGGTCTCCTTACCTTCCACTGCTTCTCCTCAGCCCCACCTGGCCATCAATTTTGATACTATGGCATGCTAACTCTTGAATCTGGGACTAGGCCCAGAAGGGCAAGGCCTTGGGGGTCTTGGTACCTACTGAGGGAATAAGATGCTCTTACAGTTGTTGTTGGAGGGGACCTGCTAGGAATGAATCCCAGACACAAGGAAGTCAAACAGAGCAGGAGAGGAAAAGAGAAAGAAGCAGGAGGTTTGAAAGAAGAGGGGAGAAACAGAGTCAGAAATCAGCAAAGAAACAGGGCGACTTGTTGTCCCTAAGGCACTCCCAGCTCTCATGCACACATCATTTACTTTACCATTACCAGAGATTCACCTAGAAATCGCATGTATGTGTTTCTGTCTCTATCTGGCTGTCTTGTGATCGCTGCTTCTCTCGGTTTTGGTTCTAATACCTCCGTCACCAGCACCCCTGTGTCTCTCTTCGAAAGGGATCATAGAAGTGTTTTGTGGCCTGAATTCCAGCTTCCAGCTCCCAGGCCCATGGAAGTTGGGCCCTGTCATTGCGGCAGCAGCAACATCAGCCCCAACCCCAGCTGCAGACGTGGCCAGATGAAAGGGCAGGTTCCATCAAGAC